CCCAGGAGGAGGAGGCTGCAATGAGCTGAGATTGGGGCACTACATTCCAGCCTGGGCGACAGAGTGAGACTCTGTCCCAAACAAAAACAAAACAAAAGAAAGTGACCTTAATGCAAGTTAAAATTAGCAAAGAAACCAAAAGGGGGAGAACTAGACAGTCATTACCAGGCTCCCTTACTGCACTGCCACTATTTCCCAAAAAAAGGGAAGACAGCAATTCAGAGTGAGCACTAAAGAAAGCATTATCCAATAGCCATAGGCTCACTTTTCAGGCTAGTGACCTAACAATTTAACAAACACGAAGCTAAGTCTAAGAAAAAACTAATCAACGAAATAACATTTACCTTTGGAGTCAGCATTTGGGAACAGCCTGTTCCATGGCACCTTATTTTTGTGTGGAAGAGAAAGCAAATAGTTCCTAGCTTTTAAATTTATTATACAATTCAGGTCTTCTTGTGATGGGGATCCAAGAATACCTATCAGATAAAAAAATTAGCTGTTAGTTATCAAGACCAAGGCAAATGACTACACACCATCAACTATGAGTCAGAATGAACCCTGATAATTAACAGTTTATCACCACCCCTAATGCTTACCTTTCTTAAGATTTTACACAAAAGTCCTTAACATTTTAAATCAGGGAAGGTTAAAAATTCACACCTACCACAGGTTAAAGAGTGTATTAGAACTCTTCTTAATTTAATGAAGTGACTTTGATATAAGCTGTAGGCAGGCAAACTTGAGTAAATCTAGCTCCTGAAGGGCTCGGGAACCTTACCCAGAATGTGGTTCAGCTGGTCAAGATAATGCTTCCCTGGAAAGATGGGCCTGTTAGAAAGCATTTCTGCCAGAATGCAGCCTACAGACCAAATATCAATGGACTTGGTGTAGCCCTGCAGGAGAAAGAAAGACAAGACTGAAAATGGCATCTGGTGTTATAGGACATGAAGAGATCTTCCTGTATCACAGGTACATTGCTGATGGGACTCTGAACTTCTCCTTTGACTCCACAATTCGGAAATATGAGTAAACAGCATGGAAAAACAAAAAACAATTTGGCTTTCTTCGAGAAGCTGAACAACCAAGATTATGTGATTTTATTTTTCTCTTCATAGTTGATTAACTTGGGCTGGGCACAGTGGCTCACTCCTGTAATCCCAGCACTTTGGGAGGCAGA